ATATATATATATATGTATGTTTGTGTGTGTATGTGTATACGAGTCACTGTATGTGTAAAAGATATGTGTTCTCTGCGCATATGTTCGCTGAACAAAACAAAACACAGAACGGGAATGCACGCCTAACCAGTTCAAATGCGCCACCGGGAACAAATGCATCGAGGACGCCTACAGGTGCGACGGCCATCCGGATTGTCCAGATCGCAGCGACGAGGATTGCGTCCCATCCGCTAACGACACCAGTACACACATCACATCGCCTGCCACCAGTACGCCTCTTTTTCAGTGTGTCCATCGCTTCATTCATGATACATTCGCGCGACCCTCGTCCAGCGTGTCCCGCTAATATCGAGGGAATACTGGAGGGTTGGGAGTTGCTTCGATCCTTTCGGGTATCTTCGCGATTCGGCAATGAACTTTGTGAAAACACCTAACGACGTGTAGTCGGCGTCATGTATGCCGTATCATTTCCTGTATCGAAAGTTGCACGATTTTCAGTTTTATTTACTGATTCCCGGTATTGCAAAGGTTAATCGATAATTATCGATTCCTAATGACGGGGACACTATCGAGTCCGTCGCGGGATTGCAGAACGTCCGGAGCGAACTTTGCAGAACGCCTCCGTCCGCGGACGACGCGTTTTGTTCATTCGTCCTGCCAACTCGCGGCTGAGTTAAAATAAAAATAGGGGATCTGAAAAATATCCCCCGTGAGCGAGGAAGGAACGTTTACGAGGAAGTTTCTCACTTCCGCTCGGCGAGTCCGTTCGGGGTTTCGCTTTTCAAATCCTCTTAGGGGGCTCTTATTTACACGAGACAAGTGGATTCGCTCGGCCGGGTGGACACGCTCGACGATGGTTGCATCTCATCGCGTAATTCTCACGATCAATCGTTACGAGCGCGGTTACGAGAAAAAGCGATTCACCGTCGTCGTCTGCCTTCCCTCCATCGAAGAGTTCATCATCGTACAATGCACATTGTAACATTTGTCGCCGTATCGGATTGAGAATTTCTTTGTGCTCGACGACGACGACTAGCGGATACTAAATTTCATCTCAGACAACTTATCGGGAAGATGAAGAAGTATCTCCCTCCCTTCTTCCTCGAGCGACGGCCCCGACGACGGTGCGCTGCTTCATCTTGCCGCTCGTGAGCGGGTCGAGAGAGGGTCCCGAGAATATCCAGGAACGCGTTATCCCGTGAATCCCCCTGAACGGAAGATTCACGGCGGTGACCGACGGTATTCTCGGCCGTTTGCGCCGCAAATCGCCGCGGTATAAGACAACCTCCGCTGTTATACGTGCATCGATATCGCAAGTAGCTGGCGCTACGCACGAAACCACCTCCGGACGCGACGACGTCGATTCGACGAGACGCTCCCGGTCGCGCCCTCGAATCTCGCGAACTTGATCGTTCTCATGAGAATCCTCCTCGCGTCGAAGGAACGATGAAGACGAATTCGGGGGACGCAACGGGAAAACGTGCGCTGAGAGAGAGAGAGAGAGAGAGAGAAAACAGAACGGTTGCTTCGACAAAATCGGCCATCGATTAGCATCGTCAAAAAACCAAAAATATTGTGCGTCCACTGAACAAATGATGCGATGACGCGTTGACGATACACGGGCGGGAATTTAATTTTTGCCGTTGCGGCGAAACCGTCGTTGTTATTGCGACAACGGTCGACTTGAAAAAGCTGATGTAACTAAATTAGCGGATGATTTTCCGAACAGAAACAAATTTGGTTTCGCCAAGTTGGGAAAATTTTGCCGAATCCGTCTTTGGAATACGTTAATTTGCCGTTAGAACAAAGTAGTATTTTCCCACATTTACCAATTTGACCTTACAAACAAAATAGCTTATGAATTCTGCAAAATATATTCAACGACAATGGCAATGGTATTCTTAACGAATCACATTTTGTTGTCTACACAGTATCTAACAGATTTTGCTGCGGCAGCATAAAATTTGCTGCACTAGCAAATTACCTCTTTTTTCCCCGTGTTTTTGTACGTCAATGTAGTTGCTGATGAAATATCACAATTTGTTAAATCAATTGATAAAACTCACTACGGCAACCGTGTAATTCGTTCGGTGGACTAAACCCATTGTGCTTGAACGAATGGGTGTTCGTTCAGGCGAAAAAAATGTTGTCGATCCTACCACTTTTCTCCCTCGATCTCAGTGCTACTCGCACACGTTGTCGCGTCACACCAGCCATGTCCGTGCAACGTTGCTTGCGAATTGGTGTTTTGGTCTTCGGTTGCATTGTTGCATTGTGGTTTGCATCGGCGCGATAGAAAGATGAGCAGCATTGTGTGTTTTCTCGTCTATGAGCGCACCTTCAAAGAGTCTCATCCCTTTGTCCGATCTTCCCTTTCCGCGAGTCCGCCTGAATGTGCTTGTGTATGTGCGATCAGACCCGTCGGATCCACGCTGGCAGCCGGAACGCAGGAGAGAATGCGACCCCAGGAAGGAAATGCGTTGCGATGACGGCGGTTGCGTTCTCTTGCGCCGTAGGTGCGACAGTGTCTTCGACTGCCTAGATGGCAGCGACGAACGGGGTTGCGGTGGTAAGGGCTTGGACNCCCCCCCCCCCCTCTCCTTCCTTGCCACCTTCCTTGTCTTCTCCTCGTGTGATCTTACACGAAAGAGATGCTGTTGCATTTGGACAGAATTGGCCAAACGTTGATTGAAACAAATCTCCTTTGCTTCAATGGCAATATTAAAAATGACTCGAGTAGTTATCATATATTTATTATATATTTCATACTTAGTAATGAAAAATGTCAGAATAAAAAAGTAAAATATCTCGGGAAGCATTCACTTCTTGATGATGTAATTCTTAAGTACTCTTGTACGCAAATTGAAAAAAGAAGTCGAATCGTGTTAAAAAAAAAGGAAAAATCTGTACAATTCTATTTAAGAAAATAAAGTTGACCTGAAAACAGCTTTAAATTATTTATCGGCTCTGTTAGTCAATTCTTTCGGAACAGCATTTTTATTTCGTGTGTATTAATGATGGCGAACGCTTCTCGATCTCACGAGCAGCCAATGAATTTTTCACGAACAGACGTCGCTCCGTGTACTCCGAAATTTTTCACGCAGTATTACACGATGACACGATCTAATAGCGTCTCCTTTCTTTTGGCAATATACATACATTTTTTATGACAAATGGATAGTAATATAACACGGATCGACATTCTCGTTAACGAGAACACGAAGGTTAAAGTTAGCCACGTTTCGTTGAATAATTGCCGCTCTATGCCGACACAACGAGGAGTATTTTTAGCGCGGCGATCCAATTTACCTAATGAAATGTTCGCCGTCAAGACGATGTTCAGTCAGCTCGATAGCGAACATTACCGTCGATATTTACATCATCAATCGACGATGTTCGCCGTCGACTTGACTGAAAACTTTACCTTCCGTCAATTTGAATGTTCAGTGGTATCATTACGCGCAAAGTTAAATATGGACAACATCTGCTAAAATTGACTCGTCGAAAATCGGTTTGTTTGCGCCTTCAAATGTAATTTCCAAAGACGCTTTTTTCATCGTTTCTTCTCAAAGACATAAAGTTTCCTCCACGTGTCTGCATTTACACAACGAAATTTTCAGCATCGTCAGCGTAACGACACGCGTTGAACTGATAAAGCANCCCCCCCCGTTCTCTCCCGATCCCTTATGCTTTTCGCGGAAGCTTTCCACTGTGTCTATGTCGCAAAGGGATATGCACACCTGCCGAATGGAAGTGCACCAGTGGCGAATGCTTGCCGGAAAACAATAGATGCGACGGGTTAGCGCAGTGTGCCGATGGCTCCGATGAGGATCAATGCGGTAATTATTACGACACAGCTTTTGCCTGCAATCGTTACTCGAAAGTGAAAAAAATGGCCTTCTTACCGCTCTTCGCGCGCCGCCGATCAGCTGCACGCTAGCGAGATCTCTTGCAGGTATCTTCCTATGTAAAAGAAATATCACACGAGCGCGTATTCTTCTTCCGCTGACTTTAATCGACGGCCGCATGGTGATGGGAAATTAACGATTATTCTCGTTGTTTTCTAACCTCAGGATGACAATTAATCGTCTTCTTATACATGTATATATAGCATGGCAGCATTGTAACAACACCGCTGTTCTCTCAGTCCCGATACTCCCCAACGAGTCCTCCCCTCCTATTCCTTTCCAAACCGAGAAATTGCATTTGCACCATCGTTAATCGTCTTTAAAATCGCAAACGACGAACGGAATTTTCGGTGTAACATTCTCCGCGCATGCAACTTTCTGGCTCCCGATATCGCATTCTTCCTTGCGGAAAGGGATCGCTCATGCATGTGTCGCGGCGAGCAATTAGCGCGACATCGCATGTCTCGTGCACGTGGAATGGATTGTTGTCTGTATTGTAAATGGCGCACGTCCCTCCAGGAATATAATCGATATGAGTGCGGAAGTTTTCGCGCATGATGAGATTCTCTCGTAAGTAGACTATCGTATACGAGGGTTGTTCGACAAATCCTTAGAAAGAAATATGAAAATATAATTTTTCCGGAGCGAAATAATGTTTGTTTTTGAATATAATCTCCCTCAGGCTCGAAGCTTTTGGTCTAACGATGCTGAAGCTTTTTCATATTTTTCATATGATACGATTTATCTTTCTCCTCAAAACAGCCACAGTATGAATTACAGTATGAATTATTTTAATATTCGAGTCAAACCCTTCTTTATCCACATTTTTTCATATCCGGAAGTAGGAAAAGTCACAAGGAGCTGAATCTGGAAAATACGGTGGATGGTCGACTAATTCGAAGCATAATTCATGCAATTTAATGAATTGAAACTGCAGACGTATGAGTTAGTGCATTCTCAAAAAAACAATGGCCACGATCTTTTCAGCTGATTGAACTGTTTTCGCCTTCTTTGACGCACGTTCATCAAGAGAAATCCATTGTTTCGACTGTTTTTTTATCTCTGATGTGTAGTGGTGGACCCATGTTTCATCAACGGTTACGAGACGACACAACAAATCTTTTGGATAACGCTTGAATCTTTGCAAGCAACGCTTTGAAATGATCACTCGATTTCGTTTTTGATTGTCAGCAAACGCGCAAACACCCATCTTGTGGATAGCTTCTTCACACCCAATTTTCGTGTAACATTTAAATTCGTTCGATGCTTACAATTACAGCAATCTCACCCACTTTCACTTTGTGAACTTCTAAACGCGATATCATGAATCTTTTCAATTATTTTTAGATTTGTCGCCGTTTTCGGACGACCTGAACGTTGTTGTCATCATTTGTATTTCTACGACCATGTTTGAATTCAGCAACCCATTATATACTTGCATGTGAATATCCGGATTCGTTCAAAGTATTATTCATGTTTCCGACGATTGCTGCAGGCCTTAAGCCTTTCAGGAACAAATATTTAATAACTGCTCGAATCTCGATTTTACCCATTTTTAAAAGAAAGCGACAGCAGTTCGTTTTAGACGGCAGTCACAACAAAATCAATCGATGAATCCGTCTGAAACTTTGCATGCAGAGGTTCGACGGATGGTGTAGGCGTCAACTATCACATCGGTTTGATGTTAGTGGCGCCATATATTTCCTAAGGACTTATCGAACGACCCTCGTAACATTAAATGAACGACGTGAGCGAGCGAGAGGTGCTCACGTGGATTCGTGAGAGAATTGAATCACTTTCCCGCGTTACTCTCTCTCTGCCCGAGGGACTGATTAGAAAAGCGGAGTAGCCGGTATTTATTACAACAATGTAATACAAGCTTACAAGGATGATAAGCGGCGCCTGTAGAACAGAAAACGCACACCGGGGTACTTCCTCCGCGTGTCTTTACGTTACGAGTCAGTTTAACACTTAAGTAATCGCGTAAACTTTTTAACATCCCTAAAGCCGTGTCATAAAACATCGCAGGGAGACGATCGAGCGGAGTCTCCTCTAACGAGTCAAATGAAACGAGCGTGAGAAGGGGAAGGGGAGATAAAAATTACATCTTGAATTTGCACGCAGGAAATCCAGAAGGAAGGGTTGCGAATTCGCGTAAACAAGTCGAAGGGAAAAATCTCAATTGTAAAATCAAACATTGTGAGGTCGATAGTCATCGAAACAGGGGTATCTCTTTCCTTCTTCTTGCGTTATCCCGTTAAGGAAATCGCGAGTATTTCATACGCGAGGCGATTATTTAAATGTTGACCTGACAAATATGGTGTCGCGCGCAGGATATGGGCACGTTTTCTCAGCCTTACGCGTTTCGCACGATTATCTCGAGCGAACGCGAGACCGCTTCGGTGATAAGGCCATTTTTTCTCTCTCTATTCCGCCACCTAGTATGGGTAGCATGCACGATACTGTACTCGACAATGGAACTTGGTAATTATTGTAGCCACCGATTGTCCGGCTGGATGGTTCCGATGCAACGACGGATTGTGCCTCGACAATAAGAGACGTTGCGATGGCCGACCGCATTGCTTTGACGGCTCCGACGAGATCAATTGCCCTCATAACGGTTATAATTTCACGCTTTATTTCATGCATCCGAGGATGACACAGACCTAAGCCCACGCTCGTAGTTAAAAAAGTTAAAAGTGGTTCGAACAATTTCAAGAAGGGCCGCTTCCCAGGTATCCTCGCGCACTGAGATGGAAAAGCAGTTGAATCGACAAAATCAGCGATCGCTCTCATTCGATGAAATATCCCCGGATAAATGGGTGTGCGTAAACTCGATTTCACGTCGGTTCGATGTAATTTCGATTGTTTCAACGTTGATATGACATAGATTTGACGTTGACTCGATATACATTTCTCGTTAAGTAGAATTTCAAATGTTCCAACTTTCGAGTAAAATCAATTCTATGTGCTTAACACACGTGTACATTATTAATTTGGTCATTTATTTTCACAATGAGGTCACAATGAGGTTATTAATTGGAAAACATACTCTGTATATTTCTTTATATAAAATAATGAAATAGCAGTACAAGAAAAATACGAAAAAAATCATCAGAAATTACTTGAAACAATGCGTGTGAAATACAATATGATGACCTGAGAGTAATTTTTTATGAATTTGTTGTATCAATGTAACAAAAAATTTACATCATTATGTGATTAAATATAGTATATTTGTGATTAATTTTAATCAATCGATAACATCGCATCGATTCTACAATTTGTTCGATCGACTGAATGTTTACTTGAACGAATTTTCATACGAGCAAGATCTCGTTGATTCTACGAGTTTTTCTTTTCTCAGTGTAGACGTTAGCATTGAATAACAAAGGTAGTGCCAGTACGATATATATAAAGCACTGCATTCTGTCATGGTAGTTTAAAGTCATTGAAATTATAGAATATCGTTAGTACTTTTTTCCCTCTTCTTAAATCGGGAATATTTCGCAACTTAGGTCTGTGTCCTTCTTGGAGCATTATTTATGTCGACCGATAATGCGGTAATGCGCACGAAGGAAGCTTATCGTTAGTTGGATTTTGGAATTCACCGTGAATTTCCAACGACCGAGATCGGTCGCAACCGCGCGATCGTGTGATTATAATTTAAAGCTCCGTCGGGAGCTCGACGGTGAGCTTTCTCCTTGCGCTATTTATTTTATTTTTAGTCTCTCTCTCTCTCTCTCTCTCTCTCTTCCTCCATTTCTCTCTTTCTTTCTTCGTGACTTTGCTGTCTCTCTTCTTTAACCACTCGAACGATTTCCCATCGAGCATCCTCATCGCAAACTAATAGCCTCTCCGCGACATATGGCATCCTTGCTATGGACATATAGTACTTATCTTTAGCGACTTAACAGTGAACGGGTGCCAAGCATTTGCTAATTTGTCTGGTCTGATTGACGTTAACAGGACCGATGATCAGCGTATGTCTGTGGTATGTTTTCGCACGTAGAGACTTGGCTGTAGAAAGTCGGGCCGAGCGCCGTCTCATCGACCGCTGAACTCAGCCTCTCTGACACAGCGCACGGCTCTCGACTTTTTACCTTCGAGTAATTCATTTTCATATTCCTTCCGCTCGCTATCGACGCACCGTCATCTTTCTCGGAGGTTGGCTTCTCCTCCTCTCTGCGTTATCAACGTAAGCTTAGTCTGCGACAAGGGGAAGGTTTATACGCTTTATCTTCGGCATATACCTTCGGCTGCGTAAACAGTCTCGCAAGACGCGCGAAGCCCGCCGCTTAAGACCCCCGTTGACGTCGTGATGTGTCAGTTCTCCGAGCGGGACCGTGTCGGCCGAGCGACTTCTCCGAATGATCTCCATGCGAGACGTCGATCGACGCCCCACGCCCGTAAATAAGAGGCAACGCACACGTGGTGGCGGCGGTGGTCCGCAGCAGCGGTACACCTGCGACGGCTGCAGACGAACGCCGCGGCGCGAATGCAGCCGCACGCACGAACGAACGAATGACTTTCCGCGAGGCGCGCCGGTATTCAAGCCGACAATTAAGAGGCCGGTGTAACTAATACGGAGACGTGTGCACACGCACGCGGAAGCTGTTAATCTCATTTCGTCGCGCCGCTGTATCGACGCACGTCTCGGTGACCGGACGTCGCGACCGCCGCACTCCTCGACTCGAATACCGACGACGTCGCGCACACGGCACCACTGAGAGAAAAATATTTGCAACTATCGTCATAGTGAGAGAATTATAACGAGATCATCACTTTTCTAGCGGGAGTTGCTACACAGTAAAAAAAAATGTTGTGTTAAATTTAACGCATTTTACATATTCCAAGCGGTCCGGCGGAAATGTTTGTGTTAATTTGATACAATGGTGAGTATGTTGAATATAAACGCAAATATTAAGTCAATAGTTACAATATTCGTGATATCTCAACAAACAAGGTGACGTCAAGTGACATCTTAATGACGATGTTATTAAGACGTCGCTTGACGTTATCTTGTTAGATGGAATATGGTTAATCGGCGCTGAAGTATAAAATGCATTATTTTAACACTCGCAAGTGTCATTTTAATATTTACACATTGTGCATCGATCGAATATCGATTTAACGCAAAATATTGAAATAACACAGACGATATATTAAGTTAGCACACGGCTACGTTAGCAGATTTAATACAAAAATTTTAACGAGGATCGATTTTAATCATAAATGCAAGATGCTTTTTACTGTGTATAATGTCAGTGAGATAATAACACCTTACATGTATATTGCTATTATTATTTCGTATTGAAATGATAAAAGGGATATAGTTGAGATTAAAATTAACTCTGATTTCTCTCAGTGTCCACCTCGGAGGACAACCGTGTAAAAGTCGGACGAATTATACATCGGTCAACGCGAATCCGTCGCTATAAAACTCAACAGCCGATCATGAAAAAGACGTGGAGATTGTCTTTGAAGTCTTTGAATTTCACTTTAGATTCCGCTTCGTCCTACAACGACGTAGCCGAATCGGCAAATATGGAACAGAAAAATATTCACTCTGACATATCTTTATTCGCATGAACGTCTACTTTTTCCTTCTGTTCCTTTCTTTTCTTTTTCTTTTTCTAATTCTCGGTTGTATCTCGCGAGATTAAGAGTGACTCGGAGAGAACGAGAAGGGAAACAGGAGCAAATTCAACAGCCGCGAAGCCAAACTCTGACCTCGAGAATCGGAGGGCCGTATAATTCCGCTAAATAAATTTCAATCCTGTCAGATTCGTTCATTTTTACACGTGGTCTCTTTCTCTCCCTTTCTCTCTCACTCTCTTTTTCTCTCTCTCTCTCTCTCTCTCTCTCTCTCTGTTTCTCACTCTCTCTCTCTCTCTCTCTTTCTATTTCAGTATTATATATATCGTTATATCTTAGCGTTTAGACACAATAAGGTATGATAATAAGATACGAGAAATGACGCATAATAATTATAATTCGATATTCGTATTATCGAAAATTGTTTTGACTGCGAATTGAATTTCATTGTATAATTGTCACTGTATACTTTCTCTTACATGTTATCCCTCCAGCTCATTGTCTCGTTTCTTGTGACTGTTTGTGCCTTGATCTTGGATATCCAACTATCAACAATCATACTTTGCATATATGATATACTTATATATCTTGATTACGCTCAAAGATTTTCTTGACATGCATTTTGCGTCGATTAGATCGACTGGATCGAACTAACTTTACTCTTGATCTATCCTTTACTTTTCTCTCTCTCTATTTCTCTCATTTTCTGTCNCCCCCCCCCCCCTTCTTTCTCTCTTTCTCCATTACTATTCGCCTGTTTACTATTTATTGTCCATCTATTTTCAGCACAGGTTGCCTGACTTTTGAATGGCGCATCTACCTGTAACATATATATATATATATATATATATTTATACCTGTTTATACGATTTTATACATACGTTTCCACGATTCCCTTTTTACCTCCGGTTATTTACGCCTCCGCAATTTTCCATGCCACGCGTTGACGCGTGCACAAACCGCGCTCTGTTGTTGCGTATACCGCGCGCAACTCGCGACTGACGTAACGCGAACTTTTGTAAATGTCACGTTTCGCACGATGTTCCGCCCGGCGTTTGAGAAACTAAGTTGATCCGTTTAATAAAAACGAGAAAAAATGCACACACGTACAGAGAGAGAGAGAGAGAGAGAGAGAGGACGAAAATTTGCTCGGAACCGACTCAAACGCGCGGGCGTGCGCGAGAAAACGATTTAACGGTAAGTCCGGATCTAGGATAGGTTCAGTGAGCCTTCAGCACTTTGCTGTGAACGAAAGCTAAATTGTAACATAATTTCTAGAAATGAAAAGAAAAAAAGTATTTCCAATGTCGCAACCCTTTAAAGATTCAAGCGTCGCAACTTTCGGCAGCGCGAGAAACGCCTTTCTTCGGAAATTACGTTACATTCTCATCGCTCGAAGCGCAAAAGGCTAAAAAGGTTCACTTATCGCGGATCCGGACTGAAAGTAACACGTATTTGTGTCGCGAGGAGCCCCCCACCTCGGGGGTGAATTCAACGTGTACGTGTGTAACTTCGCGATCGGATTCGGAATTGGAACGGGCGCGGCTTAAAATTTCCTCCGCCAGCGGTCTCTTTTAATTTACCGATTAATCAAGCTGAGTGCGCGCACGCGACATCGCGGCCTCGTCGTTTCTCCCACGTTTCTTTTCTTCAGGTGGTACGACACACGACGACGCGCACAACGGACTTATTTGACGAGCGCCCAGCATGCGCTTTTATCCCCCCCCCCCTCTTCCCCCACGTCCGTCGCACCGAAAGCACCACCTTTTCCCTTACCGATCGATGATTATCGAAGGCACTTGGTCAGCCTCGCGCATCTCTCCGCAAGGGTGAAAGCCGCGTGTCACGTCGGAGCCATTCGCAATTTTTTCCGACCGACGCGTATGAGCGCGCGCGCCTCCCCGTGACCTCAACCGATGACCCGGCGAGATAGAAGAATAATCATCCGCGGACAATTGCCGCCGGATAATCGTACGCATCGTCGTTTCGTACCCTGAAGGCCCTCCTGCTCCTTCCCTTCCTCCCTACCCTCCCGTTACAGTCATCTCGCCTCGACGAGGTCAGAACCGAAAAAACGCATGCCGAAAATTCTGGCGAAATACGAGTTGAATTAAGAGGATATGTGAAATGATACTTGCGAACGATCGAACGATATCGTTTGATGAAATATTCGGAAGAAGCTTCGTTTCGTTCTAACGATCGATAAGTAACCGTAAAATCAACATGACGTGCAACTTTCGCTTTCCGATCTGTCCCTTCTCTTGATTCTGTCGCGTTAATCTTGCGGCTACTTATCAATTGTTGAAGCAAAGGGAATATTTTACAAGCGTGCTCAGTCGACGACAGATGTCATTTTACGGACATATCCTTTGGTCTCAGCGTACTCCGCGGGAATTTGGAGCACACGTTTTCTCGCTTCTGACTTGATCAGCCAGGATGGCTGCAGCGAGAAAACAATAACCTCATCGGAAGACCCATATTTACCGTACGCTAGTCATCATCCTTCATCCGACGTCCTTACTTGCGAATTAAAGGAACCGATTGGTTTTTGCAGAATGCCCCGAGGGTCAACTGCCCTGCGACAACGGTGTCTGTATCAGTAAGAACTTCTTCTGTGACCACAATGTCGATTGCCACGACGCTAGTGACGAGCGAAATTGCCGTAAGAATACCTTTAAATACAAAACATTTATAATACGTTTCTCTTCTTCACTTCTTTGTGCTGACATTCCGCTGACAATGCGCAACATCTGAGCGACCTATTTTCTTCCAAGCCACACGTCTTATCAAACCGTAAATGATATCTTAATGCGACTACACGTCTATCTCGAAGTAGAACGAAACTGCTCAGAATGAATTTTTGATGCTTCACTAGCCCCGATCCGTTAAATCGCCTGAAATTATTAAAGACGCCACACTTATTTAGAATAGTTCTTCTTCCACTGATTTAACAACGTCGACTCCGAATCTTTGAAATATTGACTTGTTTTTAATCCAGTTACATAGTCCAGCTCAATTTCAACTTAATCTTAGTTTCAGTTTAATTTCATTTGGTCTGGCCTTAACGTCATTGTCTGCTCCGTCAAGTTTCACACAGCTTCATAACGCGATAATACTTGTAACTCGGAAATTAAAGATCACCATCATCGCACGGAACTTTTTGCGTCGTTTCTCACGCTTCTCACTTCCGCAAAAAAGGGGAAGAAGGAATTGAGACGTTATCGAAATCCCAAGACGAAACGTTGGCCTTATGTTAAATTTTGAATTCTATCGCACGGTAGAAGCTGAGATAGCAAAATAGCTTCAATATTTCAATTCTAACGATATAATTTCTTCCTATTTGGATCCCGATGATATCTTAAATTGCCCTTTTTCATTGTTTATGGCGTCAAAATAGGTTATTTAAAGTAGCATCAAAATTAAATCTATCGAATTAAAATTTCACGAGGGAGTAATTAGAAGCGGCTAATAAGAACCGGCACTGATCGCATTGTAAAATTAAAATTTACGTTGTAAAATTAAAAAATTATTCGACCTGGAAAATCGAAGAATCTAATGTCTAAATAGCCGTTAAATGGACATTAGATTCTCCGACTTTGTAAATCAAATAACTTTTCAATTTCGTGACCAGTATCGGTTCTTATTGATTTTTTCCAATTACTTAAAAATTTTGTACAGTATATCCCGAGAGCCTTATTTATATTATATTCTTTATTGTTCGCGAGAAAAGTTGACGAGTGTCACTATTCTTCTTCTGTCGAAGAGAATTTTCATTAGGCTACGGACCATCTAAATAATTATCTTTAAGAACGCAATCTATCCTTGAGATCGTCGAAGCACACTTCAAGAAAATTATACAGTCCTGACAACTATAAAGGTGACAACTACATGACTTTTCTACGTAGAATTAATGCATACAGTTTGATAATATTTTATAGTTATCGCTACTAAAGCGGGAAGCGCACACTTCGACATAGCGTATAATGCATGACGCATAAGAAGGCGAGCCGTTAGGATCCTTCGTTTTCATCATGAGGATAGAAACATAAAGCTCCGATTAGTTTGTTATCTTACGCGTCATGCTAATGCATGCATAATTGCGTTATGCCGAAGTATGTGCTTTCCGCTTTGATCCGATGTAACATAGCATAAACTTTATGCATAGCACAAATTATACGACTACAGTTAACTGTTTCAAATTTACTTACAATTACTATAAAATAGTGTATTGAACTAGACGCATTAATTTTATATACAAAACTCGTATAATTATCACCCGTGTTACTATATTTTCCTCCGAGGAGTGTATGACGATCATTCAGATCGATCAATCGACTCAGAATCACAACTGAGCGAATTTCAATGTCGGGGCGAAAGTCCCGGCACGTTATTTTCGAAGGAACTCCCTTCCCCGGCCGGCGGGTTCGCGCCAATTAATATCTCCGTCCGCTTAACACGATAATGAATAAATAATTAAAAAATAACCGTATCCTTGTTGCGCAGCGAATATCAACGAGAGCGGCGGCACGGATAAGCAATGTCCCCACGACAGTTTCACCTGCAACGACGGAAGCTGCATATCTCAGGCGGCGGTGTGCGACGGCCATGCGGACTGTCCACACGACGAGGACGAGACCAACTGTCATCGGGGTAAGTCGATCCCGGTAGAATCGACGCTCGCGAATATGCTTGTCGTGACTTTCGTTTTAAAGAGCGCTATCATTGATTTAGGGGGGAATCGAAAACGAAATCTCGATTGATAAAGTACTAAGATAAGAAGTCGTACACTCCCCAGCGTTGGTTTCACTCTTCCCCCCCCCNTCCCCCCCCCCCCTGCCCACTCTTTCACACGCTGTCGGTATGACTCAGCCAGGACGCATTCGTAACGCAAGACTTAAGACGACCTTAAGAATGTGACCCGAGTATACCCGGTATTTCTCTTGCTGAGTCTCGCATTACACTGTTGCTCATACGGCATCGAGTAAACCGCTTTTCATAAGAGAAGTCTAATACGCAACACCTGTGTCGTTTGTTCAATCGCGTCTAATCGCCGCTCTAGAACTATTAAGTTCCGCGAGTATCGCCGGTCTCATTTTGCAATTTGTCGGTCAACGAAAAAGCAGAAGAAGAAGAAGAAGAAGAAGGTTTCGTTGAAGACGAGCGTGCGGGAGGAAAGGCGATACCCTTCGGTAACCATGTGTTAAACTTAATTAGACGTGACTACGGGGCTCGCTTTTCGGGATAACCGCGTGTCTGGGCTCGTTTTAAGTCCTGATTACGCGTACGATCCTGCCGGGAAAAACGCTTTCCCGTATCCTCGAGACTTTCGCACGACGCACGTCGTGGAGCGCGTGCTGCCTCAGCTCACACACACATACACACATGCGCACACACATACACGAAAATACACATAGAGAGAGAGAGAGAGAGAGAGAAAGAGACGCAACACGTACGCGCGTGCAAAACACATACACGCACACACACTATGACACGCACACGAGCACCCCAGCTCAGATTGAGTTACTTCTAGGTGTAGACGCCTCGGCTAGAGCCTCCTCGGGGGGGCGTCCAGAGACGGAGATAGCCGGTGCGAATCCGGATAACGAGGCTTACAGCCCAGATACAGATGCAAATGCTGATGTGCCGCCGACAAATCTGAGCACGCCGAGGAGTTGTGCTCCGGATGATTTTGTTTGCGCCGACGGCACTTGCATCCCTGAAACCCACCACTGCGACCATTTCTACGATTGCCGCGACTTTACCGACGAACAGTACTGCTTCGGTTAGATTATTTGTAGATCTCGAAAATCTGGTGACACGAAGTCTCTCACGTGATCCCGATTCTCTCTTTAGCCTTAAGAGATCCTATTCTTGATTAACGTAGTCCGAGGCCGAGATAGAAATTAGTATCTTGAAATACCGGTCATTTACGTGTTCGTGTAGCGTTGACGTTAATGTCAACACGACTGTCCGAGTTAATAATTAAGGTTGTAAGGTTTGTACGGTGAAGTGTTGTTGTATGATAAGTTTGATATGAATCCAATCAAATTTGCACCACATATATAGTGAAAAATGTTATCCAACTGACCGTGCAATTAGAAGGGGTTTAACCATGCGAGAAATGAGTCCAATTTCTTTAGTTTTACTAACAACCGCCGGGAAGAAAAAAGTTATTTCTTTCATTTAATCGTCGAATAAAGTTTCCCTTTTTCTTGCGATATCCTACTTAAAAGACTTGTCTCTTCGATAGAAGGATGCGTGTGCGTGCGCATGCTTGTCTTTTCAATTCGTCAGTCTTCGCAAGATATTCCGAAACTCCTCAGAAAGCACCAGATTCTCTTGGATCTATATACTTTTCTGCCAGTCTGTGTTAGCAGCTGAATAGAAAGATGTGTAGGTTGTTCGAGTAGAGACTTGATTATACTTATGAGATTTACAATCATCGCAGTCTGACATTTATATCCGGCGCATCCCAGTAAATAATAGTGCATCTCTGCCTGGCGTAAGACTTAGATCGTTTCTTTTTCTCGTAGGTAGAAGGTTTGGCATAAATCCTCTATTATGGCATGCACGGTATGAGGAAAGTACACTTTTTATCTAGTAGAGGGGTTGTGTGCAAAACAAGTTTGCATTACAACTTGGAAGGAAAGATACTTTCTTTTAGCAAATTGACACGTCGTCTTTTTAATCGTGTCAGCTGTTCAGATACGGTGTACTCGCGAATCGGAACTTGACAAGATCGTGACGAGCCGAAATGAAACGAAACCCGTATATAAGCGTCTTTCCTCTTGAGTCCACGTTATTTTCAATAATGGATTATACCATACATGTAAGTGTTTGTAGATGACGATGATTAGTGCACACAGTAAGACGGAGAAATGCCGCACCGTGCGAAGTTCAGATGCGTCCTACGCAACACACATGTCAAGTGGTGCTTTAGCCCACCGTGACTGCTGTGTGAACTGATTTGCCCCCCGATAATATATATCGATTAGTCTAGACACTAGACTTCATGTTTAACGATCTTTTCTAGGTAACTTCATGAAATCTTTACCTCCATTGTATATATATATATACATATATATATATGCATATCTCTCTATCTTTTTCTCAACGTTAGATCACTGTTTAGATTGTGATGACGGACATATATATGATGGCTCCGTGACTGACATTTTACATGTCATGTATTTTGTGTCTCATCTATATCGTTACTGAACGGACAAACGACTTACCGTTCTTCCCACCGACATACAATGCGCGGCTCTTGTTCTAGGATGCACGCGGGATCAGTTCCAATGCGACAACGGAGACTGCATCAACGCCGATCAGAGGTGCAACGGATACATCGAATGCGCCGACGGCTCCGATGAACCCGAAGAATGCGGTAAGTGCTTCCGCGGAAGAACAGTCGTCCTGCGTGGTGAAACGAGGGGGACGTGCGATGTTTATATTCCACGGCTCAACGCGTGCGTAGTGTGCGGTGTGATTTGCAACTGAAATGCAAACAATTTTGCGTTAAATTTTGTGTTAAAATTAAAAATTTTTATTTCAAAATACCGATTGAGAATATTTAGCCAGTCACGAGCTAACAATTAATTAGAAAACTTATCTAGTCAGTGCTATCCAGCTACTAGTCTGTAAATCAGATCGACTGGATGCATTTTTACTCGGGCAAATGTCTATGATGATCTACCACAGTATTTTAATCTAACCTACCGTCGATCTACCAACATGATGCTAACATTTTATTTACTCGGTTGTTGCCTCACTTTGTGTAAGAAGTATAGAAATACGAATGAAACGGAAAGAAACGCGACTAATCGGACGGATGCATTCCTTCCTCACTTTGGTCTTTATCGCAGAACCACCGACATCAGGTCACTGTGCGGCGGGTCAGTTCATGTGCGTCTCTGAAAGAAGATGCGTGCCGTACTCTTCCGTTTGCAACGGAATTCCCGAGTGCAGAGACGGCTCCGACGAGGAGCACTGCGGTAAGTCAACGTATATTACAAGTAGTCGAGACGTTGCGTTTCGATTCGCCTGGCGAACAACAGCGTGATTCAATGGAATCGATCCGAATCTCCTCCCCGATTTCTGCCTCGAATATCCGTGAAAAGCACAACCGCGAGTCGTTAATCGTCGCGGTTCCTCCGTTTCGCTCCTTCCTTGCGCCCTCTTTCGGCGTTCTACCCTAAGCGCGGCCGGAAGATACACGGTGTGTAATGGCACGCATTTATTAACGCGACACAACTCCAAAAGATCATTGGCTGGGCTGCACGGCCGAAGAATGGAGGTGCAAGAGCGGCGATTGCGTGCTCCGCCATCAGCGTTGCGATCGCCGGATCGATTGCCCGTACGACGATAGCGATGAATTGGAGTGCGATTATCGACCCTCGCAAGGAAATCACAGCCGGTGCCGGTCGCACGAATGGCGGTGCAACGACGGCCACTGCATACCGATGCATCAGCGTTGCGACAAAAAGCTCAACTGTCCCCGAGACATGTCCGACGAGATCGGTTGCAGTTACGAGAATCGTGAGTGCCCGACGAGTCGGTTATCGCGTGCGAATGCACGAAGGAGGTGGGGGGAACAATGCCGGCTGATAATGCGCCTTATCAATCAATAATACACTTTGTAAATACGTCAATAACGTAACGTAATGTCCGCTGTAACGTAATGTAGCGTACATGTAACGTGACATTTCACCTGTAACATTTCACTTCGTAACACTGGAAAAGGCATTAGCATTTACCGTAGAAAGGATGATGTCGCGGAAACGACTCCGTACTTCGCGATCGCCCGAATTACGCCTCTGCCTGATCACTTTTAATCCGCGGATAACAAATACTCTCCTCGCAGTAAATAATAAGAGATAACGAATTCGGCGCGGAACGTGGTGTTACACCACGCTGCTGTGTGTGTGTGTGTGTGTGTGTGTGTGTGTGTGTGTGTGTGTATACCTTCTAAACTGAACTAACCGCTGTGAACTCCCTGAAATAGGATTACGTTTCTCTTTGGACGAGAAATGTGCGAAGGAATAGGTGCGGAGTAGATATGTATTAACCAGTCTGACGACACAAAAGTACCGGACGGGGCTTTAATTAATCATCGATAATATTCGATTTCGGTAATATTCGATTGCGAAGTTTCATAAATTCGGAAGGATTGAAAGGAAACTTCGAAAACTTTGGTTAACTTTCGAATTTCAGTAAGCTGAAATACCTTGAAGGCACGCCCTCGAAGGCCGCAATCTTCGCGCGCTTCAAAGCTCCCTCCCCTCCCAAGGGATTAGACTGAGATTACATGAAGAAAAATAATTTATCGGCACAGCAAATTTTAATGCTGTCGCGATGAATTCTGTCAGTTTATTGTGACAGCAAAACGATTTGCCAAAAGTAGTCATTGCCATTTGCTAGAATTACTTTGCTGAGGCTACAAATGATTTCAATGTAAGGACATATTAGTTAGTAACGGTATTGGAAGATACTATTTTATTTTAACAACAAATAAACGTGTCCTAGGGACGAATTGAACTAGCAGAATATTTTCTATATTAGCAATAAAATCATTTCTCCTCTAATTACGAGTAATTCGCTAATTTGGTTGTACTAATAAAATCTTATCGACAAGATTATTTTTCTCCATGTAAATAACTGTTTCAAATGATGTTTCTTTTACACTTAAAAAATCTTATAATTTCCACAATTCGCATACTGAACACCGAAGCTTTAAATCTTCGAATCGAATGCCGAATTTAAAAGCTTCGAGTATCAAAGCTTCCGAAATAAAACTCCAACCCTAATACCGAATACATTTTACTCCCACTCTGATTAATCGGGTTAATCACAATCGTTCTACGATCATTTTTCTAATTGTGATCTTATTTGCATTCGTGCGCAGATACGATCAACGAGGCGTCCGAGCTCAGGTTAAAGACGTACCCCAGTGAACAAGTGATCAAAGAAAGTAAGTATCACCGTTTTTTATCCGTAAATGACGTACGGAATACTCGATTAGACTCGGTGTATAATAGTATGCATTTGTTGCAACTTATTATTACTAGTTCGACAACTTCTATATTAATTAATATGCATTTGTCGTTTAACTTCTTCACGGTTGTCTTTATTTCGCGAGAGAAGCGAAAGCTTCGGTAATCGAGACACTTTATTAATCGGGAGGAATCGAGATATATAATAACGGTAATAAGCAACAAGTGCTACGTTGACGATAAATTGGCGTATTCGAGAGGAAAATTAATTAATGAATGTGTTTGTTATTTCTTTCTCTTGCCTTGGCCAGATCCGGCGAAGCAAGGTAAGACTTTTCAATAGATTTAAGCTGTAAATCATGCTATGGGCTAAAATAATCTTCATGAATCATCGAGTACGCAAAATTCGTAAAGTTGTATATGTAACAGAGAAACTTTATTTATCGTGTACGTACACGCGCGTCGACGTACAAATATCTACGCATCTTTGTCTTTATTTCATTCTGTTGCTAATCAAACTCGCCCGAAAAGCGAAATTGGTAATAGAATATACGACAATTCGGATTTATCTTAAGGAAAATTCTCTTTCGATAAACCTTGTGATTATTAACACTATATTGCAAAATAACTCACCAATTTAGTATTGCATCGATTTTGCACGTGTATGAGTCACAATTGCAAAATTTTGAGGAAAATCACGAATTTACTCGTAAAATGGCCTGCAACTTCGCCTTGGTTTTTAATGCCTTGCAACGGGGATCATTAATAACTTAATTAATAATAATATAAATAATTCTCTAACTTACCAATATCTTCGAGGCCCCGCATGCAAATGTAATTATTCACATTAATGGCATCATTTGGAACTTAAATAAAATGTAGATTTTAAGCTGCAAAACTACAGTGAGAGGAAAAATAATTGAAGTAACTATGATCTTATTATATTTTATGGTGAATTTTGGCCTCAATTATGCGTTTGCAGTTTTTCAAAGCATGCAAAATAAAATAAACATGAACCCGGATTTATAGTCATAACAACTCTGACATTCACTCGTGTAACTATATTTTATAGTCGTCATAAATTAAAAAAGGAGAATCAAATTATCACAAACGTCACACACATTTTTATGGAGATAGTTGTTCCTTTCATTATTTCATTTATTATCATCATCATCTGTACGGTAAAACATGCGTTAAGAATGTTGTTACATGTAGTATCATTTATTATTTATTACGATTGTGGTCGATTACATCAATCTTCAATTTCTGTTACAATTCCAACATTTGCCACTTTAATTGCATTTAAAAACATTACAATTTATACATATATATAAACATTACATATCATATATATTAACTGTATTTAAGATTTTTTTACTACAATTTTTGAACTATACCATTAGAGTTCCAAATGTCATACGTTTTCCTCGCAGTGCATCGCACGAACACTTAATAACCTTGATCATTGAGTATCCATCGCACACTTGTCAGAGTCCTTTCTCTGTCTCCTCTCAACGCTACGTACCTCTGAGAGATCCGCGTGTCGTTCGTTGTTCCTTACACGGAATGCTCATCTATTACCCAGATGTAACCGGCGATGCAAGCAACTAACGCGATTAAGAAGAACCCGGGTGTGTCGTATGTGGCGAACTAACACGTGACATTACGGTGTCACTTCGGTCCCGATGAAACGAGAGAAGCGCGCTTGCTTGCGAACCGCACACACTCTCTCCATTTACTACTGATAGGACGCGTGGTGTACTATGAGCGTAATAATCCGTAACGAACGAGGCGCGGTGTCCCCGAGACCAGACGGAATTTATATCACCGGCAAAACCGTCTCTGATCAGGTCGCGAGGTCGTGTTTCAATGCCGTGACGAGGGTCTCCTACGTGCCAGAGTACGTTGGGTCCGCGCGAATGGTCTCCCTCTGCCACCCGGTAGCCGGGACATCAACGGCCGCCTGGAGATACCCAACATCCAGCTCGACCACGCCGGGACCTACATTTGCGAGGCCGTCGGCTACTCGCCGTCCACCCCGGGCAGTCAAATCAGCGTCACCCTCGAAGTCGAGAAATGTACGTTCCTTCTACCTTCTTTTTACCTCCTCTTTCTCTTCGCGAAAAAAATCAATCTCAGCCCCGCTCGACTCAACTGAATGGAGATCGGATAACGACTCGGCAATGAGAAATGGTATCTCTGTCACTGCGGCCGAGAACACGCACATTCGGCCGCGTTAAAAATCGGTCGAAACAATTGAGCGCAACTGACTCACCTTTTGTTTCCACGAGTTTCCGTTCGGTCCTCGGGTAATCGAAAATTCGATTGTATCAACGGAATTGTTTTTTTCCAATGTTCTCTTTATAATCTATACTTAGAGGAGTTCGAAAAATTCGTGACGACTATAAATCATCGAAGAAGCCGTTTTGACTGATTGATCTATTTTTATTTATTCTATTTTGTTTATTTATTTATTATTTATGCTATTTTATTTTCTCCTTGCTCTGAGATGCTGTTGAAGAGGATCCGATTTATGACCGAACTCGTGAACATTTAGTTTTATATAAACTGATGATTAAACGTTTTAATCCTGATTATCGGATTCATGTGAAAACTTTATTTACATTTGACTGCATTAAAAAATTAGACCCTCTTTCTCGAAATTCCGATTGGGCATCACGAGAGCCGTTTTAAATTATAGTTCGAAGATTAATCGTTTAATTAAACGCTTGATTAAGCGTCTAATCAAATTATTTTTCCAGTTGAGCTACCGGCGACCAGACCTCCGCAAGCGTGCCAATATGACGAGTCCACCTGCAGCAACGGCGACTGCATTCCCAAATCGTACGTGTGCGACGGCAAGTTCGACTGCACCGACGGATCCGACGAGATGCGATGCAGTGAGTAATTGTTCCTCCTTACTTGAACCCATCCACGTCAACCTGTATATTCATCAGTAGGTGACGAACCAAATCCTTAGTTAGATGCCGTGTCGGAAGAAAGACGTATGGTTTACTTTCGATTTAATATAATTCGGGGTATTCCATTTTAACTTACATACCCGAATATTTTGAAAACGGTGCGTTAATGGAAAAAATGTTTTATATAAAAGTTGTATTCCAAGGGGGACATAAGGCGGTGTCATTGGTCTAACCTTTGATAGTCTTTTGAAGGTCACGTGAAGGTCACCTTCAATTTTTTAAACAGAAACTCCTACTTTTTATTGCATATTCTCGTAGCTCACCTCGAGAGCCTTTCAAAGCGCTATAACAAAATACTTTTTCATCGAGTACTTTTCGAGTAAGACTTGAAAGTTGCAGTATCGCCGACATTAGTCGCTCTCCAAGGTAGGTCCTCTGCCTCGGCCTCTTGTCTCCCTCTCGCCATTCATACTTGATTTTCCGAGTCTCTCTCACACACGAACGTCGCACGACGATCGTTTCGCCGATAGGTCCGCACGGATGCGAGCCCAACGAGTTCCGTTGCAGTAATAAGCAGTGCGTCAGTAAGTTGTGGCGGTGCGACGGCGACAAGGACTGCGCCGACGGCAGCGACGAGGAGAGCTGCGCGCCGTCTCCTCCGGGATCCGCCTGCCGTTACAACGAGTTCGCCTGCAGCAGCAACAAGCAGTGCATCCCGAAGAGCTATCACTGCGACATGGAGCGGGACTGCTTGGACGGCAGCGACGAACTTGGTTGCTGTCAGTATTCCCCACGTTATCTCGTCCCGGCCGCGCATCGATATTTCATCGCGCATTCCCGGTCGTCGTATCAGTCGAAGTTCGCGACGCGAGCTAACTTCCGGCGAACCGTTCGTGTTCGAGGATCGTTCGACTTTTTCGAACGAACTTCCAACGAAGCCGATGATTTTTATTGATGAGCACTTATACCTCGATCTCTTCGAGGACGCTGACACCCGATGCGCGCGTTTAGATATGTTTACTCTTTATTTTTTAATTCGACCATCGCCGCACCACAAATATAACGAGCCGCGAGTAAACATTCACGGACGTTCGGAATTCTCGTGGAATTTTGCAAATAAATCTTCGTCCACCGGAATTTCGCTTGAAAATGAGAGATATCATCGCGTAATGATTTATGTCGTATTTATGTCATTTAAAAATTAAATCATTCGCGTGAGCGACGGGTCTACGAGAAGGAATATTTCAGTTGACTACCATGGGTGGTTGGAAGCACAGACGGAAATTCTACGTTTTTTTTTCTACATTTGTTCGATTATTTTCAGTTTTTTGTATCCTTTTCCCTAGCATCATATAAGTTATCTCGAATCCGTGTATATCGTTGAGTGATCCTTCTATTTTCTCGTTTGACTTTTTGAATGTTTCGGCATGTATAGTAACATTGAATAACGATATTATATTTTTTTTCTTCGAACGATATTTGACCGGAAGTTTATTTAATTATTACATTATTATTCCCGTGCACTGACGCGCTCTGCATCAGTGATCTAAATAATTCTCTTTTGATTTTAAAACTCCTGCCTCCTCTCCACAGCTCGTCTTGTTTGACAATATCAGGAACGAGAAAACGCATGTCCAACATTTTTACGAAATAAATTCATGAATTAAAAGGACATGTCTATGGAATGACACTGTGATCGATTGAGTTCGTGAGATATTTTGAAAACTTTTATTCTGACGATCAATAAATGGCCGTGAGATTAGTGTGATAAAATCATGAAGATAGGCTAAAGAGGCGCGGTAGAAAAATGTCGTGTTAAATGTGGCCCGCTGAAATTTTCGCGTTACTTTAACACAGGGAGAATATGTTAAAAAGTATCGCTTTACGAACATATCCTCCTATTTCCAAGTATCTCGCGAGAATATTTGCCACACGTTTCCTCGCTTCCGACGTCATTGATCAAAATAGCTGCGAAGAAACAAGAGGCTTAATAAATTTATCCCCGAAGAGATTAAGTAAAATTCCTACCGTTCATCGCATCATTGGCTGCGATCACGACTGCTTTATTCCCCGCACAGCTCCCGTCTACATCGTGAAACCACCCCCGCCGATGGTCGTTCTGGAGCCGGGCGACATGTTGATTCTGACTTGCACGGCGATCGGCGTGCCGATCCCCGAGATCAACTGGCGGCTGAACTGGGGACACATCCCGTCCAAGTGCACGACCACGTCGGTGAACGGGACCGGCACGTTGACGTGTCCGGACATCCAGCCGGAGAACCAGGGCGCGTACTCGTGCGAGGCCTTGAACGTGGGCGGCTTCGTCTTCGCCGTCCCGGACGCGATCGTCGTGGTGAAGGAGCCGGGCAACATCTGTCCGAAGGGCAAGTTCAACTCCGAGGCGAAGAGCCCGGAGGAGTGCATCTCGTGCTTCTGCTTCGGCGTCGCCGTCGAGTGTCGCAGCGCCGATCTCTTCACCTATCACATCCCGCCGCCGTTCGACCGTCACAAAATCGTGTCGGTCGAGACGACGCCGGCGATCAAGATCCACGGCGACATCGGCAATCAGATCTCGCAGATCCGGCCGCTCGGCCGGGACGGCGTGCAGCTGCTCGAGTCGTTCAGCAACGACCTAAACGTCTACAACACCCCGTACTTCGCGCTGCCGGAGAACTATCACGGTAGCCAGCTGAAGTCCTACGGCGGTTATCTCAAGTACACGATCCGTCACAGCGGCAATGGCACGCCGAACGGTGCGCCCAACGTCATACTCAGCGGCAACAACTACATTCTGGTGCACAAGGGCAGAGAGCCCGCGCCGGATCTCGAGACCGAGGAGTCCGTCAGGTTCTTCTACGGCGAGTGGTACAGGCAGGAAGGGAGAAGCGAGACCGTGGCCTCCCGGGAAGAGATCATGATGGCTTTGGCGAACGTGGACAACATCCTCATCAAGTAAGAGTCCCAGTCGCGTTGATCGTACGCACGGGAACGCTTTAACGTGCGTTCGACGTGTTTCAGGGTAAAGTACGACGACTCTCCGCAGCTGGACGTGCGTCTCACCAACATCATCATGGATACCGCCGATGTGCGGAACACCGGCCTCGGTTCCGCGTCCTACGTGGAGGAGTGCCAGTGTCCCAGTGGTGCGTATAATGATGATTCGACGATCACGAAGTGTTTCACTCGTCCGTTCGTTGTCGTAACATCGCCGTGAGTTCCGCCTTGTTATTAAACTCGCTTCGATCGTCTTCAAGGCTACACCGGTCTGTCGTGCGAGCATTGCGCACCTGGATACCTGAGGCGCGAAAACGGACCATGGCTCGGCCAGTGTTACAGGGACGAGCCACCGTGTCCTCCGGGATACTACGGTGATCCTTCGAGGAACATCCCGTGTCAGATTTGCCCTTGTCCGCTCACCAACCCGTCGAATCAGTAAGAGCTAGACTTCCCAGACAGCGCAAGTGTCGAAATGCGTCTCGGAGACATCTGAGAAGACGCGTGGAACGAGTAGATTGTCTTTCAGACGTTCTTCAGAATCTTTATTCAGATTCTTTTAGATATTTATTTACATTTTGTCAGACATCTCTGAGATATTTTTTAGCACTTACGCTGTTCGGCTTGCGCTGCCGCCTTAATTACAATGCTTCGAGCAGTTCGGAACATAATACTTGCTCGCATTAATCAACCTTAATCGCGAAAAACAGATTCGCCCGCACGTGTCATCTCGGGTCCGACGGACAGCCCACGTGCGACTGTCCCGCTGGTTACGTCGGGCGCAGGTGCGAGCAGTGTGCCTCCGGTTACCAAGGGAATCCCCTGATTCCCGGTGACATGTGCGTCCCGGTACAGCAATGCGATCCTCACGGCAGCCTCAGTCCCAACACTGATCCGCACACTGGCAAGTGCCACTGCAAGGTACTATATTGACGATTACCGGCGACCGTCGCCTTCGTACACGCAATTCCGCGCGAGAGACATCTCAGAAATTGAATGTTAATTGAATGAATCTTTCTCTCTCTCTCTCTGCGAGAGAGAACTTTCCGACCGAGACATCGGATTTTCCGGGTAAAAAATCCGGGCGAATCGCGCGTCTCCTCGGACAGGCCGCATAACGTATTTACTTTTATTGTTCACGCATCCATTTCTCGTGGATTCTTTTGACATTAAAAATGTAAGTACACGAATTCCTCCCTACCTCCCCTGAATCGACGCACGGCGATAAACGAGCGTCGCTACGACGCGTCGTCGCGATGAGCGTCGAGAGAAGCGCTGTGCTATTCCCCGACCTTCCCCGTTTCAGGAATACGCTACGGGTCTGACTTGCAACCAATGTAAGGCGAATACCTTTAATCTGGCCTCGGCAAATCAATTTGGATGTATAGCTTGCTTCTGCATGGGCATCACCAACAGATGCATCTCGTCTAACTGGTACAGGAACGAGGTGAGCCGGAGATAATATTATTTCGCATTTGTCATCTTCCGCGCGACACATATTTCAACCTTGACGCGATCATACGAAAGAAACCTCCTCGATACCAGAGAGAGGTGACACTTCTGACGTGACGACATTCCTCGTTGGCGAAACTTAAACACAACAATGAGGCATACAAGATGACAGCGTATTCCATCTATAGAGTACAGTATTCGCGCTCGGATTATGAAATAATAGAAATGATCGTTGAAAAATATAAATTTCGACAGTTGATATTAAAATGCAAAAAGTAACTTCGAACTTCTTCGCTTCGTTTATTATCGATCGCTCTTAGACCTGCGCGCTGACTCTCGCCTTTATTTTTTTTCCTGATTAATTTCGCTCGAATATATGAAAAAGTTCTTCCTTTAAATTAATCGCGTTTAAAAGTTTGAATTACCACGATCGAGCGACCAATTCATTCGCGCTTAGACCGACTCTTTCTTGTCTTGATTCTTTCCCTATTGATTTTGTTCGATAGAATACCTCGAAGAAGCTCTTCTAAGTTAATCTCGTTTAGAAATTTCGATCACCGCGGTCGGACGACTCATTGTCCGCGCTTTTCGCGAACCTTAAAATCGCGAAGTATGCGATTTCCAAAAGTAACAATTTTTTTCTCTACAACTAAAGACTCCCTCACGTAATTGTGAAAACGGTGACTGTACGATGGATCACTGACACGTTACAGATTCGCGTATCGTTCACCAACTCGATCCGAGATTTCTCTCTGATCGATTCGAGGAGCACCGACGCGCCGGCGATCGTCGAAGGTATTCGTTTGGACACCATCAACCGGGAAATCATTTACAGCGATTTCCCCAATCGTGGCAATAACGACGTCTACTACTGGCAATTGCCCAGCATTTTCCTGGGCGATCAAATTACGTCTTACGGCGGCAATCTCAAGTACAGCGTCAGATACGTCCCCTCTCCAGGCGGTCAAAGTTCACGGAACAACGCCGCGGACGTCGAGCTCATCAGCGTGAGTGCATATTCGCGAGTCATGGCTCTTCTGCTTGCTGCGATAAAGAGGCAATAAGGTGAACCTAATGCACACACACACACAGGCTAACGACATCAACCTACTGTACTACTCTCGCGAGTCGCCGGAGCCGGACTTCCATCAATCGTTCACCGTGCCGTTGCTCGAACAATATTGGCAACGCAATGACGGCACCCAGGCGGACAGGGAGCATCTTCTAATGGCCTTGGCGGACGTACGGACCATCAGAATCAAAGCCACTTACACGACGCACACCAACGAAGCCGCGTAAGTACTTCGTAATACCATCGGAGGGGAGCGATTTTGAGGGGACAGCGAATTTTATGCTGTCGTGGCGAATAAATAAGTATATATTTATAACAGAGTACTGCCCCCTTAAGTGCTGTCCAATACTTTAGGAATTCATTTCTCAGATCGTCTCATGAAGAAAAGTTCATGTGAACATATTATGTTCATTTCTTCATAAAATGACTTCAAAGATCAACTCCTAAAATATTGGACGGTATTTGAGAAACACTCTGTATATATTTATTTAATTTCAAAACAAATTTGTCGCCCCTCTGAATTTTCGTTTCAACGTCAAAATAGATTGTTCAAGGTGACATTAAAATTAAATCCATAAAATTAAAGGTTCAAAGAAGAAGTTAATAAATATCAGTATAGTCAGAGAAAGTTTTATTACTTTATAGGCAATCTAAATTAGCGCAAAGTGTCCTTGAAAGCGTCAAAATAGCATCCTAGCAAAATAGCAAATTTTGACTCGGCTGAACCCCCAATATTCTTAGATATTGCATTCAATAAATAAATTGATGGACGCAATAAGCACATATATTCGCTCTGCTGGACTTTTAAAAACACGTAAAAATTCGAAGAGCGAGTATATAAATCTATCGGTAGATCAAAGAGCGGAAATTACGAAATTAATTAAAATATACGATGTAATACTTTCTCAGACTTTCCTTCGTGTCTTTGGATACTGCGGAGAAATACAACACGGGCAAAGAGCGCGCGGTCGAAGTCGAAGAATGTACTTGTCCTGTCGGCTATAGAGGACTTTCATGCGAGTATTGTGACGTTGGTTACACGCGAGCCTTCGAGGGCCTCTATTTAGGTATTTGCGAGCCGTGCAACTGCAACGGTCATTCGAACCAATGTGATCCTGAGACTGGCATTTGCGAGGTAAGCGACAGAAACGAGTACGGCTGATAATCTTGACATGATTCAATTATCAATTCGAAGAGAACTAACGTAGATTCCCAAATTAGAATCCATGATTTTTTCGGGAAATCGGACTGAATCCCAATTAGATCCAAAGATATTTTCCCTGCGGATTATCCTTAACGTTACTAAGAAAAGGAAAATAACGTCCAAGTCGTTACTGAAAAAATAACTCCCCATCTATGATACGCGATTTAAACTTTGAAAAATTGACCGGTCGTAGTCGATTATTCTTCTCACGTTCGACTGTAATTGATCAATTTCTTAAAACTCGAGGCTTAAAACACCTATTGTAGACCGGGGCTGACGACAATGGCGTTATTTACCGTTAGAATCTAACACAATTCTTTCGGCAGCGCGTTGTAAAATATCAAGTATAAAATATAAAGGTGAGCCACGGTGCGGAGGTGCGTTTGATTCGAGTGCGATCAGAACATTTTACGTTTTAATAGAATTGCGCGCATCATACCACCGGCGACTCTTGCGAGGTATGTGAGCCAGGATACGAAGGAGACGCCACTCGAGGCACCCCGAGTGATTGTACGAGCGAGACACGCGAGCCGGGATGCAGATGCAACGAAGCCGGCTCGCGCAGTGCGTCGTGCGTCGAAGGCCGATGCGAGTGCAAAAGGAACGTCGAGGGCCCGGAATGCAATCGGTGCCGCCCGTCGACATACGGATTACGTGCTGAGAACATTGATGGATGCATCGAGTGTTACTGCAGCGGGGTAACTGATCAATGTCACGAGAGCACGCTGTATATACAGCAAATACCGATGTGGGTGTACGACTCGCATCACGGCTTCACTCTCACAGACTCGTAAGTACACGCCCGTTCTTTGCAAATAATAACGTCCTCCGGTCGTTTTTGCTGTAGCAAAAAGCATAAATCTGGCCCATCGAGAGACGAATAAATTTTTACAACCAATCCGAGAGAAAAAGAAATCACTGTTAAACGAACGTTATAATTTATTCGACAAATCCCGAAAATAATATGTTAACGAATTTTTTAACGATCACAGATCCTATCTAGTTAATCCTTAGAATATTAGCTTGCTTCTCCGAGACGTAGATATTTTTGTATGAATCCCCCCTTCTCTCTCCCTCTCTCTCTCTCTCTCTCTCTCTCTCTGTTTCTCACTTACAAACTTATTTATATTCTGAAATGTTAACAAATTTTTCAATTGATCACAGACTCTTTTCAGCTAACTTTAAAATACTAATGTATGCCTTTGGGATGTAAATATTTTTTATAAACCTCTCTTTTTTGTTTCTTATGCCACCAATTTCCAATTTGTTTTATATTTTGAAAAAAAAAAATATATATATATAGGCCGATATCTACTTTTCCCCGTAGAACCCGACACGATGTGATCGCGGATGGCTTCGAATTGAACGTGGCGATGAACGAGATCGGCTACCGTTATCCGGACAGCAGAAGCCGAAGGCTGTTCTGGTCACTGCCGAGCGTTTTCACGGGCAACAAAGTGAAGAGTTACGGCGGAAACCTCACTCTGACGCAACACATCACCGCATACCCTGAAGCTAAGAGCTATAAGGACCAAGACATTCTGCTGATCGGCAATGGTGTCACCTTGTTCTGGACGAATCCGACAGAGATCCAACCTGATATTTCGATGGTGTGTATACCGGAGGGAAAAATATTAAGCCTGATATACGCTGAGCGAACGAACAAAGAACGAACAGCGAATTCGAACATTCATTGTTACATGGTTCGAAAAACGTGTACGACTTAATAAATCCGAAGGGAGTGTTTGTTTCGGGTTCGGACGCTCTTAAGAGACAAAGGAAGTTCGCGGACATTCGATTGACTTCCGGCTATGATTTGCCTGTACTTTTAAATCTAAAAGTACATACTACATAATATTTTTCTCAATTACTGGGCAATTTCTTTCTGAATTTAAATTTCTCAAATATTCCGCTAATTGATGACTCACTTATCACTATTGTTTTGCCGAAATATCATTTGAAAACGAATTGCATAAATAATTACTAATCTTTTACAAAAGATCCATATCTCCGCGTGTATCTTTTCAAACATACATAAATCGCAGCGTCACAAGTTTTTCATGCGACAAGAAATTCGTCATATAATTTCACGAACGTTTTCTCGTTGGGAATCTCCTTCGTAGACCTACACTGTCCCGCTGAGAGAGAACGAATGGAGGCGCTTGACGACCGAAGGGCCGCGCAGTGCTTCGCGAACGGATCTCATGATCGTGCTGTCTAACTTGGAGGCTATCTTAGTGCGCGCGTCTCACAGCGAGCGAATGACTGCCACGTACATCAGTGACATCAGCATGGATACGGCTGTGGACAACCTCACCGGGAACCGACGGGCGACCCAAGTCGAAGCCTGCCGTTGCCCGACCGGCTACACAGGAAGCTCCTGCGAGACCTGCGCACGCGGCTACTACAGGGACACCAGCGACCGAAGCGTCAGTTACTTAGGCGCGTGCAATCCCTGCCCTTGCAACAAAAACGAGGAGAGCTGCGAGATCAGCAGGTCCGGTCAGGTCAAGTGCCACTGCTTGCCGCATTACACGGGGCTGTACTGCCAAGACATCGGTAAGGAACGGAACGTCACATTCGAGATGCGCGAAATAACACTAGACTAGATCGTTCTGATGATTTCTGCTCGAAAAGACGGGGGGGGGGGATTTTCGAAATTTCGAAGGGCGAGTAGTGAAGAATCTCCTATCTTCTCGTCCAATCGCGACTCTTCCGAAGGGAGAGAAACAATAGGGGTTGTTATTGGATATTAGTTGCAAATGTTTTCGATTATAGGAGGATAATAACGTTTAACGGTATGTGATAACGTGAAATATTTCCATCCGGACTTACGTACTCGGTGAATCAACTTTCCTCGTCGAACTATTCGAAGGGGTTAACAGGCTTGTTTACATAGCTAGTCCGATTCTTTCGGATCGGACGGGACGAAAGATTTGAATTGCTCCGCTAACAAGAGATATGATTCAAACGATCGAGCTACGTGGACTATTTTTATGTAAAACACACCGTAAGTTTGAATATCTTTTCGTGAGCGTGAGGTAACATTCTTTCGGTAGGACATATCTTTATAACGAAAGAAAGGCTTAAGATCGTATAGAGAGTATAATGGGCGAAATGACACGTTGGTCAGGTGAGCTGATGGTAAGCTTAATGCCCATGAATGCCGAAGCCAAGCCGCGCTCCACGATTGAGTTTACGTGCAACTACGACTACCCGGACAATTTTTACATCTATTTTAAATTGTCGTCGCTCGACGGATTCCCCGTGACTGTCCGAAGCGGCAAACCCGGTCCCATAATCAGGACAGAGAAGGGAGCTTTTCGCACTTGGTCCATCCACGTGGAGTACATCGCATGCAACGTGGAATGCCATATCGTGAACTACTACGGCAAAGAGCTAGTGAAGATCGTGACGTCGATTACGCCAGGTTTGACGGGCCGCAATAGTGAGAGCTTTTGTCCTTCTCGTTCGTTCGTCCGTCGGTGATTCGTGGCAAGGAAAAACGCTCTGTGATCATTCCATTGTCGTCACGTTGTCATAAGATCATCGTAGAGCAAGCCTGGTGAAGGAATTCTGTTTTTTCCTTAGGTCGTCGTCCTCGGCGCGTAGTTCTCTGTAGTCTCGTAGTTTCTCCCAGAATCGGCACTTATGTCGACAGAGAAGCTTGCCTTTCCCTGGTGTATGGTATACTCTGTGTCCACGAGTGTCCTATGTGTGTGTTCTATGGTAATTAATTCGCAAATTAGCAACTATCTTCGGCATAATCGTCATTGTCACTTGTCGTCCGATGTAATGGTGATTGTGCCTCTCGTGTCCGAGGAAAATACCGATTCACGATGTGTGTTCTTAGTATCGTAGGATCCAAACAAAGTCCGTGTCGTCTTCGTAAATTATCTCTCTTTCTCTCTCTTTCTCTCTCTCATCTCGTTCTAACAAGTCATCCGCTGTGGTGGTTACGATCGCGCGAGAACATTTCGCTCGTTTTAAAAATCAATCTCGCTGACTTTTGTTTCCTTCATAGTCAGAGAAAGGACGACCACCACACCAGGCCCGATACCGCCGGCGAGGATCATAGTTTACGTACAGGAACCGGAATTCCAGATCGTCCAAACGGGAAACACCGTCAGATATCATTGCACGGGCAGATCGCAAGATAGCGTAAGTTTCCCAAATCTGTTTTTATATAATATAATATCCATAACGGATGCACCAGGAAAAATGTTTTGCTCTACGAACCAAAATTTTTTAACGACAAAATAATTTGGTTAAAGTATGTCCAACCAAATGGTACAGTTGCTGTAAACAAATATGTTTATTGCTTATACTTTGTTCTTATAATGTAATGCTTTTGTTAAAGCAACCAAAGAACTTGCTATATGAATTTTGTTGTGAAAAACCTAAGTGTTTCGTAACATGAATTGTTTTATCGTAACTAAAATGTTTAATTTTTGAAACCAAATATTTTGCTCAAAGATATGGATTCTCTTGTTATTTATATACAAATGCTATAATCCTTTTCATAGCTCAAATTTATAGATAAAAGGTAGAAAAATGCAGCGTATTAAGTAAAATATATAGTTGCAGCCAATAATCGCCTCAGACAAAGAGTTAGATAAAGAGTTTTGTTGGAGATACTAAATTCTTTTTTTCCTAGTGTGTGATTGTGATTTTTCTCTTATTTCTGTTATTGTAAATAGGACTCGGTGCGCATTAGATGGGAGAAAGAAGGTGGCCAATTACCGCCCGGAAGAAGCGTGGACGACGCAAACGGACTGTTAGTCATTAGGGATATAAAGGTAACTGACAGCGGCATATACGTCTGCCAAGTGAGCGACGGAATCAACATCGCGATCAAGAAAGTCACCCTGACTGTCGGAGGTACGGTACAAGCAAGATCAATCGCACGCTACGTTGCATATTAAAAAATAGCAGGATAATAACCAGTTAATCACTTAAAAGTTACATAAAAAGTTGAAAAGTTAGTAACATTTTTAACATTCAAGCTAGTTAATTTTAAGTAAATTAACCTTTAATTTAAACTAATTATTTTAAAACGCATTAACAATAACTTGTTAACTTTTTTTATACAAATTAAAATAATTTATTAATATTAAAATCATTATATGGGCTGTTTCAATAAGGAATAAGAAAAGTAAGAAATTATGTCAGTAGAAATTCTTTTTCGTCTCTCTAAGCGCCGGAATTCTTTTTCTTTTTTGTATAGAATTATGAATCCTATGGTTGGCACGTCTTGCGTTCGACACCCTGTGTATAAAATCAACATTTCAAAATGTTGTCCCAATGTTCTTCGTTTCGTACCGGAAAGATTATGTCATTTCGTCGTGTGATCTTCTTTATAATAAGTTTTGAAAAAAAAGAGAAAAAAAGTTTGATAAACCAATCTGTATTGCGTATCCCTTTTTAATCGTTTTAACGCACTGTTAACGCAGCATTCCCGAAACGCTTGCTGGAAATACCAGGTAGAAATCATAATCGCAGCGAGCCGCTCGTGAATTCGGTCATAACTTCATTCACGTACGTTATTCAAGGGGTCAATCCGGTAGCACCCAGAGCTGTGATAACCCCGCCCTATCAGGAAGTGCAAGAAGGTAGACCGGTGGAATTCCGTTGCGAGGCTACCGGCAATCCACCGCCGCAGTTGGACTGGGTGCGAGTTGACGGAGCCATGAGCCCGGAGGCGACCTTCTACAACGGCGTTTGGAGTTTACCGGGCGCATCGAAGAGCGACACGGCCGAGTACAAGTGCATTGCCAAGAACAACGTTGGCACAGACGAGAAAAGGACCATTTTATACGTTAAAGGTGATCGATCGAAGTAATCGGATAACATGTAGCGCGTTTTACGAATATCAAATCGCTGGAAAATTATTAAAAATACACATATACGATACCATATTACGGAATCGATCGAAGTAAATGCGTTATAATCTATGAAAAAAATTATCTTACCGTATATAAATATATACTCATATATATATGAAGTTCCATTCTCTGCTTGAAGGAATGGAATTGCGAATGCGATTCCCCGGCACTCTCGAAACTCTGAAAACTTCGTTCCGTGTTACAGACGACCCTAACAAGCCGCCGTCCCAAGTTCTACCGCCGACCGTAACGCCGCCCGAATGGTCCGGGACCAGCGGCGACACCGTCAAACTGATCTGCACGCCGTCTCAGCGCGCGAACATCACCTGGACGAGATCCGGCGGACTGCCGTTGCCGGGTTACGCCAGTCAGAGCGACGGGACCTTGTTCATCAGTAACCCCAGCCCGAGCGATTCCGGTATATATGTGTGCACGTCGACGGATGTCCGTGGAACGGAAACGAGCACCACCGCGAAGATAGTGATAGTGCCTCGCAGGGATCCGCCGACGATCAAAGTGAAGCCCGAACGACAGGTGGTGTCTCAGGGCACGGTGGCCGAAGTGCGATGCGTCACCAGTGGCGAGCCGGGCGTACACGTGAAATGGAGCAAATACATGGATACGATGAGCTCGCGCGTGCAGCAAGTCGGCGACACGCTGAGGATTGTCAACGCCCAGGTTTCCGATCGGGGGGTGTACATCTGCCGAGTCAGCAGCGCCGCGGGCAATTACGAGGCCAGCGCTATCATCGAAGTTGCGCGTGAGTTCACCGTACAACATTTTCCCGGTGCAAAATCGTTACGTACAACAATAGAGAATTATCAACGAGAGCAACAGTAAAAGTGATTAACAGTAAAAGCACACGAAGGCCGATGAGTGTCATTGCGTCAACGTTATAATTTCTTACTCAACAATGCAAGCGCAATACAACATGCGTTGTATATAACAGTTTACATCGTTGAGTGGGGAATTATATTGCTGTAATCGTATCGTTCGTTAGTATTTACCAAGGTTGTACAATCACTTGTTGTCAAATCAGTTCATTCTTACGAAGACTTCGACGAGAACGTGAACATCCGCCGCTCGACATTAGTTAACCGCTATGCCCGGTCGAATGAACGTCCGTCGATGTTACAGCCCGGGAAGCTCCGGTGCTGGAGCTGTATCCCCAAGACGTCCAGACCGTCATTCTCGGCGGTTCCGCCGATCTCCAGTGTCGCGCGAAGGCCGGTTTCCCTGTGCCCGAGTTACACTGGGCCCGCCAGGATAGTCGGTCGTTCGCCTCCAACATCGAACAGCTCCCGGGTGGTCTCCTCCGACTGTCGAACATTACGACGAACGACGGCGGTGCCTACATTTGCTCGGCGTCGAACGAGGTCGGCTCGACGTCGGTGATCGCCCACATCGAGGTGCAGTCCATGCCTGTCATCACCATCACCCCGGGACACGGCATCTTACAAGTGAAACGCGGGGGCCGGGTGCTTCTGATGTGCAGCGCGAGCGGTAACCCGCAGCCCAACGTCGCCTGGAGCAAACACGTGAACGGGATGACCGTGTAGTGAGTTGACCTCGTCTATTCCCGCACGTCGAATCCGCGTCACATCTGCATGAGCTTCTTATTTGCTTCTTGTAATGTCGATCTTCGTAGAGATAACGTCCCGGTGGGCAAAGGAATCATCGATGGAAGCGGACGGATGGTTGTTACATCAATATCGTGACTAATCACTTCAACTAATCTAATCATCTAATCACTTCGATATTTATAAAACATCAAATAAACGTTCAAGAAGAGATACACATAAAATCGACGTTTCAAGATTCGTGGATACAGTATTCTTTGTTTATTGGGTTATGTGGCACTCATCTGTGGAGTTGTCTTCCTCTTTGCATCGCACCACGAAATTTCGATCTGTCTTCTCTTCTTATACCGCCGCTAAAATATTATAATTTTCTGTCTCCCTCTGCTCGCTCCGCACCTTCACTCTTTGCCTCGCTTTTCTACGGCGAAGAAACCATATCGCTATCATCAACATTGTCGAGATAGACCGCGCAATATGATTGAACAACGTCGTGTGATTTACAGCGATATGTACAGCAGAACAGCGGCCACGCCGTTGAGCGCCGTGCACGAGATAGTCTCGGTTTCGCCCAACGACGAAGGCTCGTACACCTGCCAGGCGACAAACCCCGTGGGAATAGCCGAGGAACGCATTCAGATTCGCATCGAGGATGACAACGACGTGGACGAGCCGTGTACCGGTGACAGAGGCGACATTCCGTGTTCTCCCGACGAACGGCAGCCACATCGACCCAGTCACGTGTGTATACCCGAATCTCGTTCGCCTGCGTCAGCCTTGGCGACACATTCTCTCATCGAGGTGTGATTTACAGAGAGACCCTTATACGGGCCAACAAGGAGTATTGATCCCCGAAGATTACCTGAGAATCCCGAACGGCGGCAAGGTAGAGATGCGTTGCCAGGTGTTCGGGCCTGACGGCGACCACATCTATTTAGACTGGAAGAGGAGCGATCATCGCTTCCTGCCGGAAGGTAGCACCGTGCACAACGGAGTGTTGAGCATCCCGACCGTCGACAGGACCGCAGCTGGGGAATACATATGCCTGGGCTTGGACCCCACCGGCACCGTGCTCTTCAGAGCGAAGTCTCATCTTGAAATTATATGTAAGTCTCAATTGTATGCAAAATAAGCTCGCTGCCTTTGCTTTCCGTAAGTCACTCTGCAAGAAGATAAGGATTAAATAGGCTCGAAGGCAGCTTTCCTTCGATGAATCTTGCGAGCGACTCGTACGTTCTGAGCTTCCAATTTTCCCCGTTTTACGATAAGGACTTGTCATCTCTATTCCGTCACGAACTTCTTCCAGCCCCGCCGAGGATCGAACTGAACCCTACGCGTCAAACGGTAGGACCCGGCGAAAACCCGTCTATCGTTTGCACCGCCACAGGAGATGAGCCTCTGCATATCGAGTGGGAGGCCATAGGACGATCACTGCCGTACTCGGTGACGCATCACAACGGTGTCCTGCAATTCCACGGCATCACCTACTCTGACGCTGGCAAATACGTGTGTAAAGCGACGAACGGAGCGGGAACGGCGGAAGCGGTGGCTGAGGTTTCAGTCAACGGTTAGTAGATGAAACCATTCGAATCTGCTATGTCAGAATGACATAACTTTGATGAAACTTATAATTTCAACGTTACCTTTCACAGAGCATCCTTACGACGACACGAGGATTCGCGCCGAACACAGGGACGTGACGACGCACACCGGCAGTTCCGTACGTTTGCGTTGCGACGTGCGGGAACGCGCGACGATCCATTGGAGCCGCGAGGGACAAGCGTTGCCGATCACCGCGCGAATCGGGGAGGACTATCTGGAGCTGATGCACGTGAAACCGGAGGACAGCGGACGATACGTCTGCCAAGTGCAAACCAGCCGCGGTGTATCAAGCGACTATATTAATTTCAACGTATCGCGTAAGTTGCGCCACGTTTTCTAAACGCCTCCGTCGCATCATCTCTCATTAGATCTCGCTTATCAGAATCTGCATCCACTATGACAAGATTACTACGCGACTCGCGTACGATTCACGCTGAACGATATCACGCCTGTTATCCAAGTTGTCTTCATTTTTCTTCGCGCTCAACTCTCGCAGGACATTCGCGGGGAAAGAAATCTGTTCCGAGTCGCGAGAGAGTCGAGAGCAGTCCCGAAAGAGTTGAGTCGCGAACTGCTTCTTTCGACATATATATCTTGCTTGCCGTTCTTCTATCGATTTCATCGATTTAAACTTGAGATACGACGACGCAAAGACGCCTCGAAACTTCGGCTTTCCCCGTTTCTCGGACCGCGACTGACTCGCGTTGAAGTGGTTGGTCCGTTGATCTATTTTTCCTTGGAATTTTTTTCCAATTTTAACAGCACATCAATCGAAACACCATTTACACAACGTAATTAAAAAAAGATTGACAGCACCGAAGTTGAAATAATTAAAGTCAGAGTTAACACTGTTTATACGCAGCCATTAAAACATTTCTCGTACATAATTATGTATGGAATATGCCCAAATTATAAAAATATGTGATTATATATTTTTTTATTCATATATAATTATATATTGTCGTCGTAAGAATGCTCTGTGAGAAGTAAAATTTAAATATTCCGGGTATATTCTTAGGATATTAGAACATTAGAACATTGGATTAATATTCTAATAATATTACTCAATATTAAGTAATATTTCCGGAATATTTCGATCGGACAGAAGAGTAAGAATATACGCAATTAAGCGAGGTATCTTACGACTTAAATGAAATATATCAAATGTAAACGACACGTGTATGAAATCTCCCGTTTTATTTACACTAATCTAACGCGTCACTTGGCTTGCCACATCACTAACTATCAGCGGATCGCTCCTACACAATGCAAATGTGAAAATGACGACGTCGCGAAGACGATCGGGTGTGCTTCGCGACGGTGTGTCGTTCAGACTTTTGCGTTGTCCGAGCGGTCGATAAGGAGATCATAGCGGACGTGGAATCCACGAACGTCTCCACCAATTTAGGTTTCTCTCTTTTACAAAGCTCGCGTTATGATTTAGTAGTTAATTTGCTTGCGGATTGCATGCCAGTGTACCGATCGCAGTGCAGGCACTGGGAATATGAATGCAGAAGCCTACAATGCATTCCGATGGAATACTTTTGCGACGGCTATGTTCAGTGCAGCGACGGTACTGACGAACGCTTCTGCCGCAACTTGCGATACCGCCAATTTCTTCAGAGACAACGCGGTTTGTTTTGAAATATATGTTTCGTGTGACGTCCCGTAGTGTCTCTACTTGTAGTGAACTGTCCTTTATACTTTCGCTTAACTTTATGTGCCCTACCGAGGAAGGGATACGAGCGAAGCGAACTCTGCAGCGAGCGATCGACGGAATGCTAAATGAGATGTTGAAATTTCGCGGGTTTGCGTCCAGAAATATCTTTTCCCGAAGAAACCCCCGTATATCTCATTCTTATTTATTTCATTGTTTATTTGAAGAAATGTTCCCGTTACTTTCACAAAGATCTCTTCGGAGGTTTTCCTTTTGTATAGATACTTTCTATAAAATCACCTTTTTACAAGCAATTATATGTAAGCAAATGTACAATATATATTATTGGACAATCATAACGCAACATTCGTACCGTCGTGAACAATGCAGATTACTCACGTATCCCATCCTTGTTAGCGTAAAATATTCGTATACAAATGAACGTCTATTTCATCTACTTCGGATTTTGTAGTACTAGACGCCGTTAATGTCTTTGCAAATTCGACATTATTCTGTCGCAACGACTGTACGCAAAATCGACTTCGCAACTTTGCCAGATTCGTTCGTTTTAGTTCCGAAGTCTCGAATGCGATCTGAGACATATGAATAGCTCGCGAAGATGCGAATAGATGCGGACCAAACGTATCGATCTCGCGGTTTCTTCGGAAGACCGATAACAACTCATACTACCTTTAATACGCGCGATAGTAGCGCGCAAAATAAAACGTACATTTTCCTCCGCTGATTTGTACGAGCGGGCATTACGTGCGGCTGATACGAACGATTCGATTCTAGCTGCTGCCTTGCCGTTGGTAAGCGTCGAGGTGTCCCAAGACCCGATCAACATCGGCGACACGGTCGACATGCACTGCACGTGCACTGGAACGCGCGACCCGCGCTATCACTGGTCGAGGCCGAACCACGTGCGCTTGCCGACAAACGCGCAGGCATACGGCAACGTTCTGAGATTAACGAACGTGGCCGTCGACGATAGCGGGCCCTACAGGTGCACCGTCGACACATCGGAGGGTACATTCGAGAAGGATTTGAATCTAATCGTCCACGGTGAGTGTCCACGGATGCTCTAACGTATATCGTACGGAGGTTGCAGGGAGACCACACACACAGAAGTGTAAGTCCGGCCGTGCAACTTCCGCACGGAGCACACTTTGAGTTACGCTAATACCGACGATACCGTAACTTTCAAGTTTCATAACTCGGGAAGTACTCGAAATGAAAAAAATTCCTTATTACAGAGTCTTGAAAAAGCTTTCGAGATAAGCCACAGGAATAAAGGATATTTCTTTTAAATGCATCTATAGAAAATATCGATTTGATCGTTTAATCATGCGCGCGCGTCTAGCAAAGGCATAACAAAATATTTAACATTAAATTGTAAATATTTAATATCTATATCCTGTTACATTTCTCGTTAATATGCAAATGTCCGATTTTTCGTCAATGCTTGCGGGAATCGCGGTGTGTTTTACGTAAGTACAACAATTGACGAGAAGAAAACGCACATCGTAGAAACGATCGCACGAATTTCATTTGCACGATTCCCCGTGATTATGCAGGTGGGCACAACGACGAGCCAGCGATTGAAACCAAATTCGCACCGTACGGATCAAGCCTGGAGATGGACTGTCGCATCGATCTCGACCCGCCGATACAATTCCAGTGGAACAAACTCGGCGGACTTCTACCGCGAGACACCCAAACTTTGGACGTATGTGAAATGTCCCTGTACTATCGAGTGTCTCTATTGTTCTATTTTTAATATAATAATATTTTATTGTATATTCTTTAAATACCCATCGCGCAAATATCATCGTCAAACCCAAGGCTATATTTTGGATAGTGCATGCGAAATATATCTTTCTAATTTTCAAGATGAAATAACGTAACGTTCGTATAATAAAAAAACACCGAACTTGGAATTAGAGACATATTTGACCTTCTCTAGAATTTATTCAAAAATCGAATACTTTACGTATCAATGTTGAAGGTATGTCTTGAGGAAAAATGTCTTCTTTTACTGTACAGAACAAATTGAAGCTAACTAATGTAAAGGCCGAGGACGCCGGGACATACATCTGTGTTGCAAATAATGGACATACGACCATCGAAGTGCCTACGGTGCTGGTGGTGACCGGTGTCGTACCTAATTTCAGCCAAGCGCCCGAAAGCTACATCGCTTTACCGCCTCTACCCGACTCATATCTCAAGTTCAACATCGAGATCTCCTTCAAACCAGAAAGTAGCGAGGGTATTCTCCTGTACAATGACGAATCTGGCAGCGACAACGGCGACTTTATCGCTTTGTCCTTGATTAACGGATATCCGCTATTCAAGTAAGTTGAAAAGCTCGTGAAACACACCAGGAGTCGATTGCAACTCATGCTTTTTCTGCCAAATACGCAGCTCGATTATTGACTTCGCGAGATACCAAACCAATTGTGAAATTACTTAATCGAGGAATACTCGAGCGAAAAAGATTACATACAATTGTGTATTACAATTATAATTATAAATTATAATTATAAAATATATGTATAATTATATATATAATTATATAAGAGAGAAAGTAGTATTAACATCCCTTATTAACATTTTATATATTAAATTGTTAATAATTAAGATTTTACATTGACAACTTCCTCAAATCAAGGCGAGAGATTACTCAGAATGGGGAGCAGCGTGTAAGCTATCGAGACTTTCTACCCGCATGTATTAACGATACACCGAACACTCTGACAGATTCAATCTTGGCTCCGGACCAGCGGTCGTTCGTGCGGACAAACCGGTCACCCTGAGCGAGTGGCACACCATCAAGATCCAACGCAATCGAAAGGAGGGAACGATGTCGGTGGACGGCGAAGGCCCGTACAAAGTGGTAGCGGTGGGCAGGCGTCAAGGTTTGGATCTGAAAGAGCCCCTTTACGTCGGCGGAGTTCCCAGTTACAACAGAATCAACAAGGAAATCGAAATTAACTCCGGCTTCGTCGGCTGTATAAGCAGACTGGTCCTCGGTGAGAAGCAAGTCGACCTGATCGGTGATCAGACCGACAGCATAGGGATCACAAATTGCGAGACCTGCGCCGAGAATCCCTGCAACAACGGCGGTGTCTGCCAGGAAGCATCGACGAAGAACGGTTACACATGCCTGTGCCGAGCCGGTTTCAGTGGCAAACACTGCGACTTTGTCGGGCAATCCTGTTATCCAGGTAGAATCATCGTAATTGCTCAATTCTGATATATCGCACATGTGCATTGCTCAATTCTGATATAGCGCACATGTGCAATCGAGATTTGTAGATTTCAAGTGCCATTCCCGGTTCGTTATCACTGTAATGCAATTTAATTTTATAATTTAATGTAATCCTATTATTCAATTTAAATCGATTAAATTGCATTAGATTCAATTACACAATTACATTGAATTGCACAGAATTAATACAGTTTAATAGATTTTTATTGAATCGAGCTAGACTATAATTTAATTCGTTATTCTTATAATAAGAAAAAAAAATTGTTTATCTAAAAGAAAAAAATGGTCTGAAGATATTAAAATTGGACACCCTGTGTGATATTAATTAATTATTTTATTTTCACGATGAGCTTACTCGGTTACTAATTAGGACATTCATCATACTTTCAAATCAAAAGATCCAAATATTTCGCTACTTCTAACTCGAAGTGGCCAGGCAAGAGAGGCTACTTCATTAGTTCTACTGACTTCGATGTTCTATTAAGTATATGTTTAATCATTTCAGGTGCGTGCGGAGAGGGCAAATGCGTCGACAAGGAAACCGGCTTCGACTGTTACTGCCCATTGGGCAAAATAGGAGCGCGATGTCAGCGTTCGACGAATGTTTACGAGCCGGCCTTCCATGACGAGAGAGCTTTCCTCGCGCATGATACTCCAAAAGCTCTTAGACGGTGAGTACATCTGTTCGCTCGCTCACTCGCTCGATCGATCGAACGCACGCCCACGCATTATTCCCGATAAATTGCTTTCAATAGATGTCACATATACACGAGATCGTTTCCACGCATTTGTTACGCTCTGAGTTTACTTAACTCCTTCGCTGTCAGTGACCATTATATGCGCGAGAAGCCATTTTTGCTTCGTGACGCGTATATCATCTTGAAAAAAAAAACATTTATATTATTACAATTTGATTATTCCTGAATGTCTAAAGGTTTTCGAAGTCGCTGTATCTGATAATCTGAAAATACAAAACGACGAGTCTATTGTGACAAATCAAAAAAGAAAAAAAATATTGACATATATGAAAAATAAGAAAGAATTTTTTTATTTAATTGCTTCTAAATCCCGCTCCTTGCCGAACCCAGAATCACGAAACGAGGTTTATATATATTTTTTCCTTGTATTTTGTGTATTTTTAATCGGTTTGTCGTTTAGGGCAAGCTGCTGTGTTGGATATATATAGATATAACACAGACATCGTCGATACTTACACTGTAATATTTGCATATGAAATGCTACTTCTGACTGTAATATAATATTTTTAAAGCTTTTGTAGTCACCAAAACTGAATCGGACTTTCAAATAACTATATTAGATTCGCCATCTTGAATTTTGAAAATATCAGATTCGGATTCAACGGCCTCAGTAACCTTTATACTGAAATCTTCTGATGCAGGTTTGCCAATTTTTCTCCAATACATTTTTGGCACGAAAGGTTCTTCTTCGCCTGACAGCGAAGGGGAATTAAATATAATTTGCACATAGCACGCGCATACACAATGAAATGGATAAACTTGGAAGAACGTCATAAAATGTTAGATATAGAGTCTATATATTTCTTTATGGGACATTCTTCAAGTAAAATTAAGAGTATATGCATAGAATGCATAGAGTCTCTCAAGTAAAATTCTGGACATTTGCGACACTTGCGACATTTTTTATCAGAAAGTCAAACATGCCTAGGTTTTTATTTGAGGGACTCTACGCATCGGAGGCATCGATTCTCGAACGACAATTAAATATTTGGAAATTAATCCTATATGAACGACTTTTTCTGCACTTCCTTCTATGATTTCCGAGATATAAGAAAAAAAAAAAAAAGAATCGTGTCTGTCTGAACGAGACTGT